TGGAGTCATATTAAAGCCAAATTGTTCTCTATCTTTTTTATAATGGGTTTGTATTTGTGCAAAGGGCCACCATGCTATCTCCTTTCCTTGAATTTGTATTTGGTTCCTATTTTTAAGCTCTCCAGTATCATATAATAAATCTTTATACCTGACAATGTTTTCATAATCCAATACATTTGTGTTGTGATCGGAAGGATCGGTCCTGTTAGGAATTTTGAATCTGATGACTGTTAGATCGTGGATTGACGTCAGAACCAGGAAACGTTAATCTGAAGGGCAAGCCAGTTAATTAGCACGTTGCCTTAATGGGTATAAAAGGACACAGCTGTGCTGGTGCCTTTTGCCAGAAACAAAATGTCTATTTTGAATGAGGACGTTACTGCAAAGAGATCTCTGTTTGTTTGAATTTTGAAGGGGAGTCCTAACAGTTCTGGCAGCCGTTATCTTGTTATTTTCCTTCAGTTTGATTTGATTGTGAAACGGCTGCTTTGTGTTTGTTCGTTTGAATTTCCAAGAGGAGACATAACATTATTGTTTCTGGCCTAAACAAACCATCTTTCAAGCAAGATGGATTTAAATCAACTGCAGCGTTTGGTAGAGCAGCAGCAACAGCAAATAAATCAGCTACTGCAAAGCAATGTGACGCTTCAGAATCAGGTAACACAATTGCTGAATTATGTTTCCAGCTTACCAAGCCCTGCTGCTGTTCCCCCTGCCCCTCCTGTGAGGAAAAGCCCAGTATCCATGCCGGAGAAATTTTCTGGGCAAATGGACATGTTTCCGGCATTTCTGGGGCAGTGTCAATTATTTATGTCCTTGAGGCCTGAAAACTTTCCAAATGATCGGGCCAAGACAGGATTCATTCTTAGCCTTTTATCTGGGCAGGCTGCTAATTGGGCTACTCCCTTGTTAGTTCAAGATAGCCCGTTGTTGAATGATTTCCAGGGTTTTCAAATGAGAGTGATGTTTGAGAACCCAATTAAGATACAAACTGTGGACAGACGGTTATGGGACATAAATCAGGGGAAACGGTCCCTGCAGGACTACGTTGCAGAATTTCGTTTGCTGTGTTTAGACTCCAACTGGAACGAGCCGGCTCATATGGCTGCATTCCAGGAAGGCTTGTCTGATGCCATCAAAGATGAGCTGGTCCATGCAGAGAGGGCTTTAACTTTGGATGCATTGATAGTTCAGTGCTTACGAATTGAAGCTCGTTTACAGCAACGTGGACGCAAACGGCTCGGTATGGAACCATCATCGTTTTCTCGTGCACAACCCATGGTTAATGTTGAGGAGCCGATGGAGTTAGGCGCCCTCCGCCCTCGCTTAACGGTGCGAGAACGTTCGAGAAGGTTCCAGGAAGGCTTGTGCCTTTATTGCGGGGGTCTGGGACATTTTGTTAATTCCTGCAAATGGAGAGGGACCCGCAGATCCGTACCTGAAATCACTCTTGTCTCGTCAGGAAAACAGGGTAGACCTGATCTCAAAGAAACCCTAGGTCGGACACATTTCACATCCCCACCTCAAATTGCTGAAGTAAATCCTGGCCCTCCTCGGCATTTACTTTTGGACACTCGAATTTTTCTACAGTCACAGAAGGAGGGAATTCCTGCTGTTGCGTTGGTGGACTCAGGGGCTACAACCAGCTTTATGGACCGAGCTTTTGCTACGCACTATGGGATCCCATTGGTTGCTGTACATCCACCCATTAAGGTGGAAACCGTGGATGGGCGTGAGCTCAAGTCTGGGCCCATTCGTTTCGCCACCCAGCCAGTGCGTATGATCATTGGGGATCATGAGGAGGCGATAAGTTTTTATATCACCTCGAACCTTCATCTCCCTTTGGTGCTCGGAATGTCCTGGTTGCGTTTGCACAATCCGTTGGTGGCTTGGTCGCAGAACGGTATTTCTTTTCCAAGTCTCCAATGTGTAGATCACCTGAGACAATTGGAACGAGCGACGCCTCCATTGGCTGTGGGAGACAGAGTGGGGTTGTCAACGAAACATCGTCAAGTTAATCATCAGACTCGGGGGAAGGGCCCTGCGGTGGGGGATAGTGTTGTGATTGGAAGGATCGGTCCTGTTAGGAATTTTGAATCTGATGACTGTTAGATCGTGGATTGACGTCAGAACCAGGAAACGTTAATCTGAAGGGCAAGCCAGTTAATTAGCACGTTGCCTTAATGGGTATAAAAGGACACAGCTGTGCTGGTGCCTTTTGCCAGAAACAAAATGTCTATTTTGAATGAGGACGTTACTGCAAAGAGATC